GCCGAGCCTAGTTTATTTCTTGAGAAACACATTTTGTTCTTGCTCTTCCTCTGTGCGAGACAGTGTTCTTCTGGTTACTGAGATGAGTAGGACTCGGCCCCACCCTGACCATGTAGATGGGAAGACAGACATTCACACACATGTGATACAACTTCTGCCAGGTCATCACTCAAGGAACAGTGTAGGCTGCCCGGGAAGCTTCACCTTCTGCCTGAGTAACGTCTGCTCTTTCGATGCTCCTGTGCGGGTGCCACATCCTGGAGGCTGTTGTTCTAGTACTTACAGGGCCTATGTGATGTGAGGCCCAAGTTCCAGGAGCCACCTGTGAGCTTCAGTGCCAGAGGCCGCCCCACATTGTTGCCTCGCACAGGAATCCAGAAATAGCATCTCTTTCCCTTCTCTTCCCACATCCTCACTCCTGCCTGTCTCTCACCAGCCTCTTTGTCTCCTCCGTGTTCCCCTTGGGCTCACACTTGACTACATGTCTACGTTCTCACTAATCCGGAAGTGTCTTGTGATGCTGACACAGGGCTGCTGCAGGCAGGCACCAAGCATGCTGGGCAGCCAATGAATGGCGCTACCTTCCACCCCACAGGGTCTGCAAGGGGATTAGGGAAGCTGGTGAGACTCAGGACATAAGCACACCAGACACCAGGTGGCCTAATTGGCGGTTGCCTCTGCTCTGTCCATGGACACCTATGTTTGTTCATTTGTTTAAATGTATGTATCCAAGACAAAAGGGAATGTACCAGCTCAGGAATAAGGTGAAAACACCACCAGGAATAGAGTTGAGGCATGATGCAGTGATGAGAATTCCCTCACCAGGCCCCAACTCCTCTCTCCTCATCTCTCAGTTCTGCTTATCCTGGCGGGCTCCACCTGACACCTGATCCCCCTGGGGTAGCAAGACCTGGCTGCAACAGGGAGGACCCACCCCAGCTACCCGCCTATCCCAAAGGAAGGGCCCAAACTGACTCTCCGGCTCTCATAAGTTGCACTGGGCCCTGTGACCTCCCCTGAACCTGTCACTGTCACCAAGAGGGTGAGGGTGCCTCACTGGTCAGAGTCCATTTCCTCCTACTCCCTCCTGGAGACGATCATGTGGATTGAAAGGAAAATGGGGTTGCTGAACAGGAAACAGAGAAAACAGAGAAACCAAAACAGCACATGTCTGTGGCAACTAACACTTTGAGTACTATAAACACTTTCCATCCATTATTTTATTTAGTAGTGCCAATTTATATTTAGAACTATCTACGTTTAATGATTTTTTAACTTCTTTTTTTTACTCCAAATGGTGGCAGAGGGGCAGGACTCCAGGTTTCCCTGATTTCCAAGCCATTCTCTGTAGATGACTTCATCCTACAAACCACTCAAGCTTGAAGATCCAGTTGTCTTCCATCTCTTTTCCTTTGTCCTTTACATCCAGCTGTCACAGGTCTTGTCCTTTCTGCCTCCTGCCCCCTGACCCAGCCGCAAAAGAAGGGATCCTGGAGTCCCCACCACACGGGTCACATGCTAATGGGCTCAGACTAGACTTGGATCATAGACGTACTTCATTTAGCCTGGGTTTTTGTTTTTTGTTTTTTGTTTTTTTTTTTTGCTTTGAGCCAATATTTTAAATTGGAAGATTTCTCAAACATATTATTATTTCCAGCTTCTCTTAGAAAATTAGCAGATCTGGCCACACAGAACCTGCATCAGCCCTTGCTAATATTGGGTAAGACTATGTGACTGCTCCCTGCCATAGAGGGCTTTCTGTCTACCACTGTCCCCGTCTGTCCCTGTTGTTTTTCTTTTTAAAGTTTAATTAAAATGTTTGAAGAAGTACTGTATCTACATTTAAAAGCTAAAAATGTGCAAAAGAGGATTCAGTCAACAGTCCCATAGTCAAATACCTCCCCTGTCCTGTAGCCTCCAGAGATACTGTGTATGTAAATAACAGAACACACACACACATTACACTCTTTATTCTGTTGTTGTTGTTGAGACAGAGTCTCACTCCATCACCCTGAGTAGAATGCCCTGGCATCAGCCTGGCTCACAGCAACCTCAAACTCCTAGGCTCAAGTGATCCTCCTCAGCCCCATGAGTAGCTGGGACTACAGGAGCCCACCACAAAAACAGGCCAATTTTTTCTATTTTTAATATATACAGGATCTCACTCTTGCTCTGGCTGATCTTGAACACCTGAACTCAAGTGATCCTCCTGCCTCAGTCTCCTAAGAGTGCTAGGATTACAGGTGGGTGCTGTAATCACCTGGCTCTTCTTTTTTTCTTTACAAAAATGATAATGACCCAAACTTCCTGCTCTTTACAATGTCTTTAGAGATGACTTTATGCATGTCTATACAAAAGAACTTTCTCATATTTGTATTCTTTTTATGCCTGAACAGAATTTCATCACATGGATATATCCTATGCATTCAATGAATACACTATTGATAAACTTTGGGGATATATATTTCTAATCATTTGCTATTATAAACATTACAAAAACAACCGTAACACTGTTATAAACAAATATTATATTATTATATTACTATAATTGCATATATGGGCTATTAGACACATAACTAAGGTTAAATGCTAGAAGTAGAATTGCAGGGTCAAAGAATTTATGCTAAAAGAAAGCTTTTGACAATGAAGGACAAAGCACATGACATTGGACAGTTTAGAGAGATTCTTGTCATGCTTGCTACCCTAAACTGGCTGATGGGCACTGGTGCTCTGCATCGATCTCTTTCCCCATACAGTAAATTCCATTAAGGCAGGAATCTGCTTGTCATTACGTCCTCGGCATCTAGCACCATGCCAGGAACATAGCACCGACAAACAGTTGCTAAAGGAATCAAGGAGAAGGAAGAGTTATCTTAAATGGAGGCTGAGCCCTGGGTATCGTGACCCCAGAGAAGTCCTGCCCACCCAAGGGCTCTGATTGCTCCTATGACCTTAAAGAGTAAGAAAACACAGGCTGTCCAAAAATCTCCAAAGTACACCAGATGGAAAAATAAGGGTAACTTAACCCTGAGATCCATTCGTAGGACAACAAGCATGCTTGTTTCTGTGACAAGCAGAGCATACTCTCCTAGCTGGGCTGGGTGAAGACCATGTGGTAGAAGTCAGCCTCTTTCTATTCCAGGAAGGGAAAAGTTGAGCTGGAGGTAGAAAGATGGCCCATCAGGGGAAACGATAATCAACCCTCTGGCCTTGTTTCCTCATTTTAGCTTTAACTAGATCCACATTTGCTCCCCAGCTTGGCAGAATAATGTTGACAAATGCTTTTCTTTTTCATCCAAATATTCCCCAGATGGCTTCAGGAGTCCCTGAATCGTGTATGTTTTGGCATAAACCTACCCACAGGACCTTCAAGAGGTCTTATTCCTAAGCAAATGCAATAAAACAAAATGAACGAGTCCTTGGCACCAGCTGGAATTGTCTCCAAACCCAACATTGAGGCCTGATGCACTTTTCAAAGATGGAAGCCACCAGGGAGCCTCATTAAAACGTGTTAAATCTGTGCGTGAAAGCAGAGGATGGGAGGTAGAGGAAGGCTACACTAAGGGCTTGAGAACCTATTTTCTTCCAACCTAATGAAACCAACCAAGTGTGGGAAGAAGAAGGAAAAGAGGAAGGACAAAGGGAAGAGGGAGGTGGAGGGAGAGGAGAGAGGAGAGGGTAAGAGAGGGATGTTCCTAGGGACTTGGGCAGGCAGCCTGGAGGGAGAGGTGGGTGGACTTGGGAGAGAAGCAAAAAAGTGGAGAAATGAGTTTCCTGCACTCTGGTTCAGCGGGATGCAGAGGGCAGGGAAGGGAAGGAGATAGAAGGGAAGGGAAATGGGCACCCCGGAAGACCTGCAGACCACCGGGGCACCTTCTTCTGGGACCAGGAGAAGGGAGAGCAAGCCTAAATTTCCCTCATAGAAAAAACAGGTCCTGGGGGAAGACAACAGAGGCTGCCTCCCAGGGGACTATGGAAATAGGGACTTCGGGCAGGCAGACCAGAGAGTCTTTTTTTTTTTCAACAACGGTTTGACCTGGTATGTGAAAAATTTTTCCTGCTTAGATAGTTGGCAAACATTTTAGAGACAAAATGGAATTTATTAACAGAAACTATTTGTTAAGGATTGTTCTCTTCCCCCTCCCTCTGTTCTTTTCTTTCTTTCTTTTCTTTCCTTTTTACTTTTTTAATCTTCTTCTTCCCAGGGTGGAGGACTTCATCAACAAAGTTCTTTCATCTTCCTTTGTGGTTTGAAATCTTAAGCTTGGCTTGAGAGAGGAGGGAGATGGCCTTAGGGGAAATGCTCACTCTCCCACCCCTGGCAGGGCTTTCTTCTCCAAATGCAGGTATCAGCTCTCTACCCCGGGCTGAGAGCAAAGGGTCTTTGCAGAGGAATTCATTGTGTTCACCCTGGCCTGGGCTTTGGAGGCCCACAGACCTGGATCTGAATCCATAATCCACTATTTATTAGCCATATGGCTTTCATCTTTTTTGAGCCTCCATCCATTTCCTTCAGAGTAAAACACAGGGAGAATATTACTTATCTATTGCCATTGTTGCCAGGATTCAGTGAGGTAGTATATGTTCAGTGGCTGGTGCAGAGTCTGGCCCAGAGTGAAACCTCAGTGGACACCTGTTCTATTCCTTCTAACATAGGATGGCAACTGCTCACAGGGGTATGCAACTAAAGATTAGAATACCCAACTTTGGGCATCCCTTAATAAAGGTAAGACCTAACCTTTATGAAGCCTACAGAGAACCAGAGGAAGCAAAAATAGTGTTCTAAATGCTTTACTAG